CCAGGGCCAGTGGTGGACTTTCTAATTGCCAACCAAAATGTTAGAGATCCGTTCCAACTTGACTGGACGAAGGTAACAAACACTTGTTATTATTTATTCTGGCCTCTTAGTATGTTCATGTACTTTCGGATAATCTGTTTTTGTTTCAACGAACAGGCTAAAAGAACACTCAAGAATTTGAGGGTTAAAACAAGTCCATCAAATCTAGAGTACAAGATATCTGGATTGAGCGAGAAACCATGCCGAGAACAAACGTATATATTATGTTCAATGAAATTACTTTTAACTTTTCTACTTTTGCGTTTTTGCGTCGTGGTGCTTTAACTACCCTAACTGGGGCCAGTATTGTTTTTGTGTTCGTGTTCTTCACACCCTGAATTCATTGTTCCGGTATGATCCAGTTTTACATTGAGAAACAAACAAGCAAAGGAAGGTGAAGATGCAGAAATAGAAGTCACTGTGTATGATTATTTTGTTAATCATCGTAATATACAACTGCGTTACTCTGCTGATCTACCATGCCTTAATGTTGGGAAGCCAAAACGTCCTACCTATATCCCCCTTGAGGTAACCTGCTGAGTTTATTGTTCCTTATATTTGTTGTTACAAATATGATGATTTACTTTCATCCGTGATCTGAATCGTTTTACTGACTTTCTTTTCTATACAGCTTTGTTCTTTGGTGTCCTTGCAACGTTACACCAAAGCTCTTTCCACCCTTCAAAGAGCTTCCCTGGTGGAAAAATCAAGGCAAAAGCCACAAGAAAGGATGAGTGTTTTGTCTAATGTAGGTGTCTTCATTAACATTTGCCTCATTGTATATGCATCTGTGACTCCAAATCTCACGAGTACTATTTCAGGCTCTGAAAATCAACAATTATGATGCTGAACCAATGCTACGCTCATGCGGTGTTTCAATTGGTGGTAACTTTACTCAAGTGGAAGGCCGTGTTCTTCCAGCCCCAAAGGTATTTTCCATATTTACCTATATGGCTTAGCCTATACTGTTGTGCTTCTACTGATTGCTTGGGTTTCCTTGACAGCTTAAAGTGGGTAACGGGGATGATTTCTTCCCTCGAAATGGGCGCTGGAATTTCAACAACAAGGTCTTAACCCTCCTCTTCTCTCCTTTACTTTTTACCTTATATCAGTATTCTGATTCAAAGGTTCATTTATATTGTTGAAATGCAGACACTTGTGAAGCCAACTAAGATAGAAAAGTGGGCTGTTGTCAACTTCTCTGCACGCTGTGATCTAAAAGCCCTTGTCCGTGATCTGATCAAATGTGGTGATATGAAAGGAATTGTAAGTTTTGTAATTACACATTTACTACAGTATGTATTCAGATAACTTCGGTTTTATTCTTTTGTTTTAACTTTCCATTCTTCCCCTTCTGGCAGAAAATCGAGGCTCCATTTGATGTGTTTGAAGAGAATCCCCAGTCTAGGCGTGCCCCACCTTTGGTTAGAGTTGAGAGGATGTTTGAGGATATACAGTCCAAACTTCCTGGACAACCACAGTTTCTTCTCTGTTTGCTGCCGGAGAGGAAAAATTCTGCTTTATATGGTTAGAGTCATTTTATATTATAATTGACGTGTTAAATCAATTAAAGTTCTTAATGATTTCTATTGAATCACTAGGTCCATGGAAGCGGAAGAATCTTGCTGAATATGGTATTGTGACACAGTGCATTGCTCCCACGAGGGTCAATGATCAATACCTTACAAATGTCCTGTTAAAAATCAATGCAAAGGTGGGGCTTTTAATTTTCAACTTTTATGGACATCAAAATGAGTGCATTTTCTGTTGGCTGTGATCTCATACTTGGTTTGCCCTCAAAAATCCTTGCAGCTTGGTGGTTTAAATTCATTGTTGGCAGTTGAATATTCTCCTTCTATCCCTGTGGTTTCCAAGGCTCCCACCATCATCCTTGGGATGGATGTGTCCCATGGTTCACCTGGGCAGTCTGATGTACCTTCAATTGCCGCGGTAAACTGTTTTCTATGTTTTATATTTTGGATTAATTGTTGTTATTAAAGCTAGTTCAGTTGAACTCTGCAAATGTTGTATGATCTTTCATGTTGTATAACTTGTATTCAATGGGGGAATTATAGGTGGTCAGCTCCAGGCAGTGGCCCCTGATTTCTCGCTACAGGGCATCTGTTCGAACACAATCCCCCAAGGTGGAGATGATAGACTCGCTGTACAAGCGAGTAAATGACACAGAAGATGATGGCATTATGAGGTATGATATGTATCTTGAAGTTATTTTTTCACTGCACATTTCTTCAATCATATATTGAAGATTTTTGAAATTTCATCTTCTTTTGAGTGTTCAGGTCAGTTTATGTTTCACATTTTGGTTTCTTAAATCCTTTCCAAACCACCCAAATGTTGAGTTTCTTCTTAATTTCAGAGAGCTGCTTCTGGACTTCTATACAAGTTCGGGCAAACAGAAACCGGACCAGATTATCATATTCAGGTATTTCTAAATTAGAAACCCTAGAATCAAATGAATTGTAGTATTTTCTACTATTGTTCTTAAAACTATGCGGTTGTAAGAATTGAAATGCTCAGTATCTTATTTGTAGTAGTTCGTTTTTCTAAAATCCATTCAGTGGCCGCTCAAATGTATGGGTCAATTACTAATTTTTCTGTACATCTTTAATAACCAAGTTTGATGAGTAATTTTTCAATTCCGTCGTTTGATTATTCCTGTGTTAAATTTTAAAGGTTATTAGATTCCACATTGCATTTGTATTCTGACACAATGAATTTCCCAGTATGTCTTTTGTGTGTACATGCCAAATATACAAGGATTTGAATGGTACAATCCATAGCCTACCACATTGGTCTGAAGCAGGCATATTTTATCCTGCAGTGCTGATATTCCCAATGAAAATATTATGCGTTTCCGGTGCATATCACTGGTTTTACTTGAATGCTTTTTGCTATTTTAAACTCTCTTAAGACTTCCGTTACTCAATTTACTTGAATTGTCTATTAGAAATTTGTCTATTAGAAATATGATGGGCTTTTTAATAGCATGAGTAGATGCTGAGTAGTTATATATTTTATCCTTTTCTTTGGGCTCCATGTAGTTTACTTCTGTTTGAGCATTTCATAGTTGATTAATCTCTTGTACTTGTGCTTCTGATACCCTCGTGTTGACTAGTTATGTATTGAATACAGGGATGGGGTCAGCGAGTCTCAATTCAACCAAGTTTTGAACATTGAACTGGATCAAATCATAGAGGTTTTGCGAGCTTACTATTACCCGTCAAATTTGTCCTCTCAACTATGAAAATGATAAATTATCCTTTTTCTTATTCTCAGGCATGCAAGTTCCTGGATGAGAATTGGTCCCCTAAATTTGTGGTGATTATAGCTCAGAAAAACCACCACACAAAGTTCTTTCAGCCTCAGTCCCCAGATAACGTTCCTCCTGGTACGCTAACACAGTTGAACAAATTCAACCATTCACACAATTCAGCCCTTTCACAAACATAATTCAACTTACGTATTCAATTTATTGTTTTTGCAGGAACAATTATAGATAACAGAATTTGTCACCCAAGGAACAATGACTTCTATCTCTGTGCCCAAGCGGGAATGATTGTGAGTATCAATATTATGCTTAGCCGCTGTAGTACCTTGTTTGTAACTATGAATCCTATCTAGATTGTGCGACTTTGCATTAGTCTACCGTGGTCCAAGCTCCAAAAACTATGCCTTCAATTTTCAGTACTTGAGCTTTTCAACATTTTAATAATCCACATGTTTTACGTTGTTCCCGTAATTTCAACCCAAACGTTACTGGGTGGATCTCCGGGGGCACAAACGATTCTTCAGGGACCCTGTGAGGCAACATCTGATTTGTTTTCTCTGTAATAGTTTACACTTATATTTAACTGGTTTACTCTTGTTTTTCTAAGGGGACCACGAGGCCTACTCACTATCATGTTCTGTTAGACGACGTTGGTTTTTCAGCCGATGATCTGCAGGAACTAGTGCATTCTCTTTCATACGTGTAAGTGAATATCTACGCACTACATTGCTTATGCTTGCCATCAGTTATAACTAGTGTCCTTAATAATATATATATTTTTATTTATTTATTTATTTATTTTTCCCTCATTCGCAGGTACCAGAGAAGTACCACCGCCATTTCCGTTGGTAAATTTCTTTATTCCCTTCCTGCTGGCTCCTCTAGTATGATTCTTTGATTTTGTTAAATTTCTAATAGTGAATCCTAATCCCTTGGTTTAATATTTATCCTTTCAGTTGCCCCCATTTGCTATGCACATTTAGCTGCCACTCAGATGTCACAGTTCATGAAATTTGAAGACGCGTCTGAGACATCTTCAAGCCATGGTGGGCTGACCTCCGCTGGAGCTGTTCCCGTCCCTCAGCTGCCCAGGTTGAAGGAGAATGTGTCCAATTCCATGTTTTTCTGCTGAGGTCTCCGTGAGCCTTGAGCTACCATGATTATCTACGGAAGAACAGCAGTTTGTGTATATACTAGTTTTCGGTGTAGCCTCCCACCATAATAGGAGGTTTGAACTATCGTCGTTGGTAAGCTTGCCTTAGTTTTTAGTTCCGTAGTACCCTGCGTTTGACAGCCGTTTTGTATATGATCCTTAGTACGTTGCGCGTGCAGCCTAACTTATGGGACCTTGGATGTTGACTCCCTGTGTAGGCTTAACTTATGGGATTATGTGATTGTTTCTGTTGCCTTTTATGTATGTGGAGACTGGTTTTATGAGCGGTCTTTTGGAAACCCAACTTCCATTTGGGGGCGTGGTATTTTTATCCGAGCTGTTTTCGGCATGCTGAGAACAGGCGGTGGATATGAAAGGCCCCGGGGCAATGCTAGATGATATTCAGTGTCATTTTAAGCGTTGAAGACATGGTCGCGTGTTACTAATTTACTGTTGGTATCCAACAACTCTCACACGGTTATTATGACTGGGGTGCGCTGTTGTGCGTGAGACATGCTGAGTGGCAGTGTGCATGAGACATGCATGTTCTGCTGCGTTTTAAGCAGCACCCTCAAATCGGAGAGCTCGAATAGTACAAATGAAGGAGGATAAGGGCTTGAAAAGTAGGGGTTGGTGGTTGATGGTTGTGATGATAATACTAAAGGTTGCCGAATGCGGGCAGCCTGTGCTCCATAGGATAGGAGGGGGAAGGAACACTTGGGCTCCTCATACTAACTTCACGCAATGGTCCAGTCAAGAACGCTTCTACGTCGGTGATTGGCTCTGTAAGTATCGCTCGTATCATTAAGACTAAACGGTATCAGATCAACTCCGCATCTAATTTAACAAATTTGCTAACCTAACCTAAAGCCTCAACCTCCTGTCTATTTGTCCACTTTTTGTAGATTTTGGGTTTGACAAGCGTATCTACAATGTTCTGGAGGTGAACAGCACAAGCTACGAGAATTGCATCGACAAAGATTTCATATATAACGTTACGAGAGGCGGGCGGGACGTGTTCAATTTGACAGAGGCGAAGACATATTTCTTCCTCAGTGGTCGAGGTTACTGTTTTGAGGGTATGAAAGTTGCAATCCATGTTCAAGAAATCCCACCTGATCAACTTCTTCTCAACTCTTCAAATGGTTCCCAATCATACGTCTACAGCCACATTACCCTACTTGCAATGCTTGCCATTGCGGCTTTGGCATGGACATTTCCCTACTAGACTTGTAGATCACCAATTTACCATAGCAATTCTGCAATTCATTACTGTTTCAAATCCGTTTACTTGTACCACTTGTGGAAGTGAGGCCAAAAAAATAAAAAAGCAGACACCCAATGAATACAACTTCACAGTGAAGTTTCTTCATCATGTTCAAAAGTAGCTAATTAGTTTTGCAGGAATTCATAGGGTTAATCGCTAGTTTTATCAAAGACTTAATTACTACATTGTAGTGCTAGCCTGCTAGGAACCTAACCCCAGCTTCATTTTGTCACATTTGCTTTCTTTCGTTTGATAATAAAACCCAAATTTATTTGTCACTTGATTCGAATTGTGTCATTGTAAACACGAGAAATTCCTGAAACAAACGACAAGAATACGTGTACAAAATAATATTTTGTATTAATGATTTTGGGGTTACAATCTCTTTGTAATTTGGTCCTCTGATTCTATCTTCGTAGGGTGTGGGTTTGTGGATGAGTTGTTGATCCAAAGGGCCGTCGAGGCTTGATCTAAGGATGCACAGCTGATGAATGGATCTTCAAGGGGCGTTGGGCTTGATCTTGAAGGTTGATGGATGAACGGATCTTCAAGGGCTTTTGGGCTTAATCTTGAAGGATGAACGGATGTGTGGATTTGTTGAGGTTGTTGATCCAAAGGGGCCGTTGGGGCTTGATCTTAGGATGAACGGATCTTCAAGGGCTTCTGGGCTTAATCTTGAAGGATGAACGGATGTGTGGATTTGTTGAGGTTGTTGATCCAAAGGGGCCGTTGGGGCTTGATCTTAGGATGAACGGATCTTCAAGGGCTTCTGGGCTTAATCTTGAAGGATGAACGGATGTGTGGATTTGTTGAGGTTGTTGATCCAAAGGGGGCCGTTGGGGCTTGATCTTAGGATGAACGGATGATGAGCGATGAACACTTTCTTCAAGGGCCGTCGGGGCTTGATCTTGAGTTGGTGGAAGTTCTTCAAGGGCGTTGGGGCTTGATCTTGAAGGATGAACGGATGATGAACGATGAACACTTTCTTCAAGGGGCCGTCGGGGCTTGATCTTGAGTTGGTGGAAGTTCTTCAAGGGCGTTGGGGCTTGATCTTGAAGGTTGATGGATGATGAACGATGAACGAAAAGTGCTTTCTTGATTCTTCGGGGTTTGCTTGAGAGCTTTAGAGTTTCAAGGCTTCTTTCTTTCTTCCTTCCTTCCCCCAAAATGAATGTCTTGGCCTCCTATTTATAGAATTCCAAAACTTGATTTTTGGATTTAAATAATCAGATGAAATAAATCATTTCTGCCAGGTATTGACACGTGTCCTATTTGATGACTTTTCCAATTTATTTCGATTTTTCGTTGAGTCACACGCTACATGTAAAATTTATGTGATATGTGAGCGTTGAAATTTTAATTTTTTGGTCAACATTTATTTCACCGAAATTTTGATGTCTACAAATGCCCCCACTTCAAGGCGTGTCGTAGACATGTGCTTGTCACGTGTAGAAGATGCGTTTTGAAGTCCCTTAATGTAGATGTCAACCCAAGGGCCGTCGAGGCTTGATCTTTGAATTGGGCTGGAAATTTCTTCAAGGGCCATCGAGGCTTGATCTTGAGCTCGACTGGAAGATTTTCTGGTTTCCTCCAATCGTTGATTTTCCACAAGCTTACTCTTGAACTGAGCTGGAGGATTCTTTTGGTCTTCCCCTATCGTTGATTTTCCTTTGTGCTACTCTTGAACTGGGTAGCAGGATTCTTTTGGTCTTCCCCGAAGGTCTGAGCTTACTCCTTTTTTTCTGTTTCTTTGTTCAATCTCTCCAATTCGTATTGAAGAGGGTTAGAGGATAGCTCAGCATATGCAGTTGTCTCTTGTCTCCACATGCTTCAATGCATCATTTTCACTTGCCTTACTTGCTCCCCTTTGTAGAAGTGGTATTTCCTTATGCAGGTTTAGCATCTTCTCTTGTACTATTTGTTCCTGATGCAGGAGTTGAATGCAAACCTTGCATTTGAATGGACCATTACTTCTTGGTGGCAGCGCAAGTTTGAGTGGAGGTTCCGACATATTGCTTTCTCTGTCCTTGTCCTGGCAGGTGAGAACAAGGGCAAAGGAAAAGATAGGGGAAAAGCATGATATGAGATACCTTTGCTTTCGCCCTTGATGATATGAGATACTTTTGCCTTGGTGTCATTTGTTTGCAAGGGTATTCTCGGAGAGGAAGAAAACTGAGCATTTTGAGATGCTTTGCTGGGAGTGTACCCTCGGAGGTGAGGAAGAGTTGGGCATTTTTTTTTCTTGTTTGCAGGTTTGCCTTGCCATAAAAGATGAAGGTCGACATATATAGGGATTTCCCAATAACAAATGGTGGTACTGTTCTTTTACCCTTGTCGACAAACGTTTTGATCCCGCAAATCCGGCTTTTTGAAATAGTGATGACTCTTCGATCTTTGAATACGCCTCTTTGATTTCTGAACGACGCCTCTTCGATTTCTGAACGACGCCTCTTCGATTTCTGCACGAGCGTCTCTTTTGACAAAATGGCGCGCGTTTTCTGAAAAGCAGAGAAAGCGTCGCCGAACTTTGCGCTTGTCAGCTAAAGACGTGTAGCTGCGATGATGACCTCCACGTGATCTTTTGACAAAGTGGCACCCGTGCTTTGAAAAGCCGCGAAAGCGTCGCCAGTCTCCACGTGTTTTCAACTTTGTCGGATGAACGCGTTTTCTGGAAAGCCGAGAAAGCGTCGCCTAACTTACGCCGGAAAATCCAGCTTTTGAGATTTGCAGAGCGATGTCTCTTCACTTTTGAATAAGCGGCTCTTCGATTTTTGAACCAACGCCTCTTTGATTTCTGAGCAAGCGCCTCTTCCTTTTTATAGAGGTATTGATCACCTGTAACATGCATACTTTGAAGGTTGCTCATTCCTGAAAATCATCTCCGGCCTTTTGAGTTTTAACTCCATCCACCCATCTCTTTTAACACCTTTGAAAAATGGCTAACCCATCGAACCTTAGCTTAGAATTGAGTCTCAGCAGTGATCCGGTTGCGCCGCTTCAAGGTAATGTAAGGTGTCCTTCTTTCTTATCCTCTAACGGTCCTCTTACAGGTGAAGACTCCGTGATGCAGGACGCCACAACAGCTACAATAGTAGCTAGGAACCTCCTTACTCCAAAAGATAGTAGGCTGCTGTCAGGACGGTCCGATGAGTTGGCCGTTCAAGAGTCCCTCGCTCTTAGTGTTTAGTGTGCGGGCTCTGTGTCCAACATGGGCCAACGCCTGCTTGCTCGGTCCCGTCAAGTGGAATCATTGATGGCAGAGGTGGAAGATCTTAAGCAGGAGATTAAACAGCTTAAGTACGAGAATAGAAGTTTGCATGTGCTTGCAAATAACTATTCGTCGGGCATGAAGAGGAAGCTTGATGAGCTTGATGATCGTCAACGGTTTGCAGCTTTCTTCCAGAGACACCTCTTTCCTGGGTCATCCAGCGTTCCACCAAGGTTTGGGGCCTTGAATGATCTATCTTCGGTGTCTCCCGCTCCGATGCCTCTTGCTCCGATACCTCCTGTTCCGAGAGTGTTGCCATGTAGTGGGGCCTCAAGTACACAACCTTTGTGAAGACTCCATCTTTCTGCCTTTTTTTTTTTTTTTTTTTTTTTTTTTTTTGTAATCACTCGGAAATCAATGAACATACTTCGTTTTATTTAGTGTATTGTGCTAAAAACAGAGAAAACATGTACATCACCAAGATTTTTTTTTTTTTCTTCCGGTGGCACAGCTCCACCAAAGTTTTTTTTTTTTTTTTTTTTTTTTTTTTTTTCTCGGTGGCACAGATCCACCAAAGTTTTTTTTTTTTTTTTTTTTTTTTTAACTTTCATCATTACTTCCCAACATCATCATTTCATTTTACTTTATTTTATTATTTTTTATTATTTTATTTTATATTTATATTTTTTTATTATTCTTTTTTTTTTCTTTCGGTGGATTGATCCACCAGAATTGCTTTTTATTTTTATATTTTTTTTATTTTTTATTTTTTTATTTTTTTATTCTTTACTTTCATCATTACTTCCCAACATCATCATTTCATTTTACTTTATTTTATTATTTTTTATTCTACATTGTCGTTTTTTTTTTCTATATAAAGGGCCTCTGGTGATGAAGACGGAAGAGAAAAAAAACGGGAGCTCATAAATTTCTTATTCTACATTGAGTTTGGCAGCTGGTGCTGTCTTTGAAAGATGCTTCCCAACATCATCATAGCTACCTCTTTTTTATTAAGGTGCTTCCCAACATCATAATAATAATTTTTTTTTTTTTTTTTTGGTTGTATTTTTTTTATATATATCGTGATCTGCAACCTAACATCATCATTTTTTTTTTTTTTGGTTGTATTTTTTTATATATATCGTGATCTGCAACCTAACATCATCATTTTTTTTTTTTTTGGTTGTATTTTTTTTATATATATCGTGATCTGCAACCTAACATCATCATTTTTTTTTTTTTTTTAGGTGGTGATCTGCAAGGCTGAGGCTGCCAAACCGACGAAGAACCCAGGAACGCATAAATTGGTGGTGTAGAAAGAGTGGTGCTGTGCAAAGATTGCAAAGGGATTTTGCTGTGTAATGCATTTTGGTCAGTCTTCCCTTGGTAGTGACGTTGCCGTGCCTCTTGCCACTGCTTGGAGCTTGTTGCAGTGTGTCACTTTTACCGTGTGGGGTTGTGCAAAAGACTGCAGCGAGTTTATGCTGTGTAGTGTCTTTTGATCATAATTTTCCTCGGTGGTGACGTTGTTGTGCCTCTTGCCGCTGCTTGGAACTTGTTGCAGTGTGTCACTTTTACCGTGTGGGGTTGTGCAAAAGACTGCAGCGAGTTTATGCTGTGTAGTGTCTTTTGATCATAATTTTCCTCGGTGGTGACGTTGTTGTGCCTCTTGCCGCTGCTTGGAACTTGTTGCAGTCATGGTATTTTTCAAATGTTTTAAGAGCAACACCATCACCATTCTCGCGAAGGAAGGTGATTCACAAGATAGGGGAACAACGCTGAAGATTTACACCCCACTGACTGGCCTTAAGGCGCTTGCGCTTCCTACAAAAGACAACTCCATGCATATTAAGTCGTGGTCTTCTGCCCTTTTTCTTTTGTAATCAGACTTTTTTCCTTT